CGGATTAACGTCGCTATGCAGGGCACCACTGTACGTACGTACGTACATACATACTTGGAAGTTAGCTAGAACTCTCCCTTATCCAAGATCAGTGCAAATAAATGAATGAATGTAATTGTACTCTCCGAACAACAAATAATATTATACCATTTTGTTAAAAGAGATTGTATAATTATGTATTGGTATAAAACATAGTATCCCATCTCACCCTATCACAAGAGTACAGTGGTGCCTCGCATAACGATCGCTCCGTTTAGTGATGAAATCGCTTTGCGATGGATTTTTTCCCATCGCAAGAGCGATCGCTTTGCGATGGCCCCTATGGGGAAAATTCACTTTGCGATGATCATGGGGGAGCGCTCCCCTACAATCATCGCAAAGCCCCCGCCGGTCAGCGGTTCCCAAAAAACGGGCTTTGCGCTGCTCGCAGGGAAGCACTTCCCCAGGAGCAGCCCAAAGGCTCGCTTTTTGGAACAGCTGACCGGCAGGCGTTTGGGCTGCTCGCGGCGAAGCGCTTCTCCGGGAGCAGCCCAAATGCCCGCCCCTCAGCTGTTCCTAAAGGCTGCCGTTTCGGCTGCTCCCGGAGAAGCGCTTCTCCGGGAGAAGCCCAAACGCCTGCCCCTCAGCTGTTCTGAAAGGCAGGCGTTTCGGCTTCTCCGGTAGAAGCCCTAAGCCCAAACACCCGCCCCTCAGCTGTTCTTAAAGGCGGACGTTTTGGCTGCTCCTGGAGAAGCACTGAAACGCCCGCGTTTTGGAACAGCTGACGGGCAGGCGTTTCGGCTGCTCCCAGAGAAGCGCTTCCTGGAGAAAAGCCAGCGTGCGCTTGGGAGCAGGGCGGGGGAGCCTTCCCCCACCCTCCTGCCCAAGCGCTGGCCCCATTTTTGGCCAGCTGATTGGCGGTTCCAAAATGGCCGCTGCAACCATTTTTGCACGATTTCTTCGCTTACCGAGGGCGCGAAAATGGCAGCGCTATGGGGGATCTTCACATAACGTTGAGTTTTCACCCCATAGGAACGCATTAACCAAAGTTTAATGCGTTTCTATGGGGTTTCCCCACCCGCATTGCGATGTTTCTGGATAGTGACGATTAATCTGGAACGGATTAACGTCGCTATGCGGGGCACCACTGTATGTTGCAATTTTGAAAACACAATCCCAAGAGAAGAAAAATTATGCAGGGAAATACAAAGGGGGAAATTATATACCAAATTGGATTCAAACTAGTCAGAGTAGACACATTTCAGGCAGCCAAGGTAAATAACCACTGTAACTGTAACTACAGTGGTGCCTCGCTTGATGACGTTAATTCTGCAGGTGGTGCCGTTCTGTCCCTTCAGCGCTGCCTGGGGGCTGTACTGCAATGGATGCAGGCGAACGGGCTGAGGCTGAACCCGGACAAGACGGAGGTCCTGAGGGTGGGTGCTCCCACTATTGGTGGCTTGGGAGACTCCCTCTCATTTGGGGGGGGGGTGACACTGGCTGCAGAGAATGAGGTCCTGGGGATCCATCTGGGCCCGGCGTTCACCATGGAGACTCAGGTGGCATCCATGGTCTGCACCGCCTTTTTCTACCTTTGGCGGATAGCCCGGCTGCGGCCCTATCTCGATGGGGCGCTCACCACCTTGGTCCACGCGCTCGTAATCTCGAGATTAGACCACTGTAATGCGCTCTACATGGGGCTACCTTTGAAGTTGATGCAGAAACTCCAAGTGGTGCAGAATGCGGCGGCCAGAATCCTTAGCGGAGTGAGAAAATTCGATCATATTTCTCCTATCTTGGCCGCACTGCATTGGCTGCCCATTCGGTTCCACGTTGACTTTAAAGTTCTGATGCCTACGTATAAAGCCCTAAACGGATTAGGACCTTGATACTTGGCAGAACGCTTACTCCCACCTAGGTCTACCTGTGTCACAGATGTGGGTCAGGAGCTGAGGCTGAGGAGCCTGATGCCGAGGGAGGCCGCTGCACCCTTGCTGGGTATTTTAAAAAACCAATTAAAAACGTGGATGTATAAGCAGGCCTTCCCCTCCAGTTAATTCCTGACCTCTTTCCTTCCTTTCTCTTTTTATTTGATTTATTTTGTATTTTCCCATCTTGCAGAATCCTTTAATTAATTAATTGTTGTAAATTTCTCCTAAATTTGTTATGTTTTTATGTTGTAAGCCGCCTAGAGTGGTCGAAATGACTAGATAGGCGGGGTATAAATAAAGAAATAAATAAAAAAAATAAAAAAAATAATTCGTTCCAGCAAAATCGCTGTAGAGCGAAAACTTAATCAAACGAAATTTTAAAAAACCATTGAAACGCATTGAAAACTGTTCAATGCGTTCCAATGGGCTGAATACCTGTTTGTCCAGTGAAGACCTTCCATACGGTGGCCATTTTCTGGTGCTTGTTAAGCAAAAAATCAGTCCTAAAAATAGCAGGGGGACATTTTCTTCAGCTGATGGCCATTTTGAAACCCGACGATCAGCTGCTTGCTGATCGTTGTATAGCAATAATCGGTTCCCGAACCAGGGAACTGATCATTGTTAAACGAAAAAACCCATTTAAACCATTGTTTTGCGATCGCAAAAACCTAATCGTACAGCGATTTCCTCGTTAAGTGAGGCAATTGTTAAGCGAGGCACCACTGTACTTGGTGAGTCTTCACCTGAAACACTGTGTCTACTTTTGAATACTACGGTCCTGAGATTCCCAAACTGAGAGGAGAAAGATATGAACATATCAAAGAGGAGAATGAAGGCCAGAATAAATGGTTGAAGGAGTTGAGAATGTTTAGCCTGGAAAAGAGAAAACTGAGACATGGTATGTTAGCCATCATAAACACTAAAGAGATGTCACATAGAAGATGGAGTAAACCTGTTTTCTGCTACCTCACATGATGGGATTTGATTCAGTAGATTTAAACAAAAAGAAAGGACTAAGTCATAGGAAGGAACTCCTGCATTAAGACCTGTTTGGCAGTGGGACTGGACTGGACTCTTCTTTATTTGAACTTATTAAACAAAGATTAGATGACCATCTGTCAAAATGCTGCTAACCTAAGGTCCAGTGGCTAGAATCCTGTTGGTAGTTCCAGCTGGAGTAGAATTTATGGGATTTATCTAAGTAATGACTTAGCATTCCACAAATTATTCAGTGGGTCCTCTCCATTTATAATTACCAGTAGGATTCTGGCCATTGATGTCAATGAGTCTTCTCTACACATGTGCAAGATTTGATAGTTCGATAGTTAAGTAAAACAAGGGAATAAGTGAAATTCCATGCAGAAATGGTTCACTGTCAATGTGCTTCCTAGCCTCCCCCCATCCATTTTCTATAGGTACATTCTTTCCTGTCTCAGCTTTATTCCAATCAAAGCGGATTTGACCTTATTAAATATGTTCCTAATGTCACTTGTATTGAGAGTTGGTCAATTTCTCAATTTTCAAATTGGTTTGTCTTTGCAAGTGAGATAATTGACCATCAAACCAAGGTAGAAAGATAACTATTCCAAAAGATCTGAAAATGGATGTTGCCACAGGCCATGCCACTGCTGTATTAATTAAATTTTTATATGGTGTATTAAATTCTTAATATGCTAAACCTAAAAAAGAGACTGAAAAGAGTTGCCTTAAGTGGGAATCGAATGGACCACACATCAGCACATAAAACTCACTGAAACGCAGACATCTGCCTGGTCCTTCCTCAATCGTTGGCTCTCTCAGAGCTAAAATAGGTCTCAATGGAATTTGGTCTTGATCCTAATTTGTCTGTTTGTGTGTGTCTGTGTCTGTGTCTGTGTCTGTGTCTGTGTGTGTTGGCAGGAAACTAAATGAGAAGGAGAAGTAAGATATGTAGGTTAAAAAAATCCAACATCTTCATCATACAGTGGTAATGCAAAAGACTGAAACCCACACAAATCTGCATGTTGTTCACTTTGGACAAGTGGTTAATAGAGAAAGAGGCAGTGTTCTTCAGGTTTTAATGGGTGATCTTTCCATGAAAGATCAGGTATTGGAAGGAAGCTTTCCCCAAACACAACTTGCTCACTGCTACTAATATTCTTCCCACAGTGCATACCTGTAGAGAGAACATTGTGTGTCTTCTGCACTACACACTTGACCTGCACAGGGTGGCAGGAAGTTCAAATCAGCTGGGTCCGCACCTCATATAAGGCTGTATAGCCAAGAAGAACCTCCTGCAGCTGCCCCCAGAGCATCTCCCATGCTTGTCCTTGACCTATGCCCAACTGTCCAGGTTGCATTGGAATGTGTATTGTGGTGCATGTCCGTGGTTGAGAACCACTGACCTAGTGGTCACATTAGTTTGTCTCTAAGTTCACTGTGCCAGGCCTCTGTATCATAGCAACAGCTGTGTCATGTGAAGCAGGCCTGCCTGTTCCACTTCTCTGTTTCTCTTAGCAGTGGCTGATGGCACACATCATTTAGTCACAAGCAGCATCTTCCCATACAGTTTAAACAACAACAGGCTGCTGGGTGGGAGGCTCTCCTTGTCCAAGAGACTTTAGCATGGAGACAATCAACCTTGGTGGGTCTGGAGGCAGGTTTTTTGTGCCCCCCCAGATCAGCCCCTGAACAGTCTGCACAGGGAGGGGGGGAGAGATGTGGTAGATGTTTACTCCTCTTTAAAAATTGAGTGTTTTGGTGTTGAGTCGTGCAGGGTCCTGAGATGTCTTTCCACCTTTCTGGAATGGCCTTTTGCCATTTCAAGCAGAAAAAAGGGGAAATGGGAGAAGCAAAAGCAGCTTTAGGGACCAGACTTTGACCATCCACGCCTTAAGACGTGCTCTGGTTTTGCCAGGGTGTCTTGGCTGTTCCCTTCTCTCTTTTTCACTGTTTTGCTCTTCTAATATTATGTCAGCTTTACAGATGTGAGCTTGTCCAGGGATGATTCTAACCAGATGTGCAGTGCCAGATGTTTACATTTTCATGCACAGTTACTTTAGGACACGTCATTAATTCATTATTCCCCCCCCCCTTTCTCTCTCCTGTTAGGTATGATTATCGTGAAATGCTGCACAATGCCACTTTCTGTCTGGTCCCCCGGGGCCGGAGGCTTGGATCCTTCAGGTTCCTCGAGGCCCTGCAGGTACGTATAGAGGCTTAGAACTGTTTAGTATGTTTGTCACCTGGAATTGCACGCTGAGCGATACTGAGGCGAGCGAAGGCAGGCTGGAGATTTCATTTCCCTAATAGCCTGTAATCTAACATGTGTACTTTCAGGAGCAGTTGGCAGCTATTTTGCAGGAGGCACTCAGCACTGAGAGCTCGTGAGCTGATCAGATTGTTGTGTTGCTTCCACAGCAAAGGTTTCCCTAGACCAAAGCTGGCTTGATTTAGTCTAAAAGGGTTTGTCGAACAGAAGCAGATCAGGATGGCGGAGGATGTGGGAGGAGAGGGGCTGTATTCCTTAGAGAAATGCCAGTGTCCTCCTACTAGGAAGTCAGGAGGAAGTGAATAAATACGCGTACTGTATGAATTCACCTGAAATCAAATGGCTTGTAAATTCTGCCTAGGTTTTCACATTGCATACTGAACGTGCTTTAAGTAGTGGTTCTGCTGAGTTACGTTTCCTCTAGCTGATGAAGGTGGAGGAAGGACCTAAAAGGTAAAAGAAGGAACTGAAATGAAATTTGACTCTTAATCCAGAATGAAACTGGCATGAAATAAAATGTAAAAACCCAGTGCATGTTTTTTAGGAGGAGAGGGATAGGATTGGGAAACTTCCGTCTTAGTCTTGGATCTGCATTGTTCCACGTGGATTTCACAAATCCAATATTTCAGAATTGTAGTCTGTGGAATTTGGAAAAGTTGCAGAGTTTTGAAAAAGAACTTGTTTGGACTACAGCTCCAAAACTGACTGAGCTTGGACAAAGTTCAGCATGTCAATTTGGACAAAAATGATTTTTCTAGTCATTCTTTGTGACTGACAAAACTCAGATTACTGTGTGTGAGGGTCTGTGGTAACAAATCACATGAACAGAAACATTACGCGGAGAAATGCCCAAATTTGGAAAGCTGGTACATTGGGCAAAGGTTGTAAGATTGTGATCAAGAAGCCCCAAAGCACATTTCATCAAATTCGTTTTGAAGGATGACGGAAGTGGCTTCCATCCTGAAGATACAGTACATCCAAATCTAAAATGTATGAAAAAAAAAACTATGGTGCTTTTTAAGGGAAATTGCTAATGATTAATGGCGTAGCTAGTTCTAGAATTTGTTCAATCAGAAAAGATTTGGGTCAGCCATTTATGTGATGTTCACAGCTTTGTTAAGATTTAATTCAAGATTCTCGCTCAAAAGTGACATTTGGTCTCTTCTTCCATGGATGTGTGGCAAGAACTCCATGGATGGAAAGGCCTCTGCTTCTAATGGATGGCTTGGAAAAGTTACTAAAAAAATCTCAGAATCCCCCAGAACTGGGAGTTACAAGTCCAAAAATTCTAGAAGTTGTCATTCAAAGACTGCACTTTTCTAAGAACAGTCCTGATTGCAAAGTGCTTTTACTGTTGCTCTTATCTATAATGTTTTAATATAGTTGCCTAATTCTTTTTTAACATTGTCATAATTTATTGTTTTAGCTTTAAACTATGTTTCTTTTTGTACTGTAAGCCATATTGGATCCTTCAGGAGAAAGGCGGCATATAAATATTTTAATACATAAGTCAGTGCATTGGGAATGGAGGTCTGAGTATGTGTCTGGATGCAGTCTGAAATCCTCAGTGTATCTACTTCAGTGTAGTAGGTTTATACAGTATTACTTTAATCCTCATGGCTCCCTCCTTTGCAGTTCTGGGATGTGAGAATTTGGTGAGGCATTTATTCTCCGGGAAGGGCATTATTGCTCTGGAACAAAGAATTCCAAGTGCCTGCCAATCTATAAATCCCACGATTCGATAGGATGCAACCATGACTCTTATAGTGGTGTCAAACTGCTATAAAAGCGTGCTGTAGGTACATTCTAAAACTATATGAGAACACAAAGGCTAGCTGTAAATCTGTTGGGTTAATTGTTCCATGGAAATTAGTGGTCCATGGAATTCCAATGGGGGTCATCACCCAGCCATTTAAAGATGCCAAGGTGAGTGAATTGAACTGCTTCCCAGTCTTTGTCTCATGGCTGGGTTTTATGACCCTTCCAGTGCCAGACATCATGGACAATCTTTCCAAGACTTTGAAGGGTAACATGGCCTTTCTGCTTCTGCCATATATCCCAGTGCTCATCTGGGTTGTTTCCACAAAGTTCTGCCTCTACAAAATAAGGACTCCATTCTCATTGTCACAGAGCTTGAAATATCAACGCACGACTGTTTCGGTTTCTCCCTAACACCCCTGGTTTTAATGACTCTCTATGCAGGCTGCCTGCGTTCCTGTGATGCTGAGCAATGGATGGGAGTTGCCATTCTCCGAAGTGATTGATTGGAATCAAGCTGCCGTCATAGGGGATGAAAGATTGTTATTACAGGTAAGGAGGCGTCACGAGGGGAGGGGGAAGCAAGCAGCCTTCATCAGATCAGTTGACAACGGCAACCATCATCTTACACTTCCAGGAAAGATGTATCCAAAAGGTCACGGCTATAAAAGAGATTTTTATCGGGATGGATTTGTCTGTGTCATTCTGCATATTAACTCCTTTAATAAGGCATCATTCACTTTCTGACATGAAGGTCACTTGGGCCTCCAAATGTCTTGGTTAAAAATGTAGGCACTTCTGATTGCTTTTTATAGATATGCGGAAGAGCTACAGAGAGGCTTGGCGCACAAAGTTACTTGTAACTTGAAAACGTTCATGGTGTGGAAAGGTCTCATTCTGTGACTATAGATGAGCGACTCTTCAGTCTGTACCCCTTTTTGTTTTGTTTCTGTACTAACCTGAGACTTTTACATATATATTTTAATATCTTTACATTTATATTAGCTTTCAATGTGTGCAGTATTAGCCAAAGATAGAAAACCTGAGGATTACAGCACCCAGTGAAGGAGGAAATCCAGGAGTTAGCTAACCCTCACAGAATGCAAAATCTTATAAGTAGCTAAGTTGCAATCTACAGATTGATCTGTGAGTTTCCACTCAGGCTATTTCAAATAGGAATTAGAGAATTTTTGAATATTCAAGCATCCCTAATTAAGGCCCTTCCAATTTCCTGTTCTCCTTCCTCTGGTTCAGCTTTCTCTAACTTGCTGCTCATCGTGACCATGTAAAAGCACAGAATACATCCTTGGGCTGGGCCATGTTCTTTAGAGATAATTCAGAATGGCTCAATATGGAAACACAAGAAGAAGGTGTGTGAGTCCATGACACTGGTATCATCACCTGTAGGTTAGTTAGCCTGCCAGCTTCAGTGAAAATTCCTTGGGAGGAGAAAGCGAGGGTTGTAGGATCGGAGCCAAGCTCCCGTTCTTGTCTCCCATCCTTACATTTCTTTCCCACTTTTCTGTGAAAAATGTAGTGCTGAAGGCAGCAGTCAGCTTCACACTTGAAATCGCTGGTTTGACTGGACAATACTGTATCATGAGGAGAAGGGGAGGTCATGTTTACAGCTTGTTGTGCCACTGAAATATGACTGGAGGATCATGAAACTATTGAGAATCATGGATCGTGAAACTATCGTGAGGATCGTGAAACTATCGCAGAACTATTTGAGGTGTCACTGGAAGCTAAGCAGAAGGAAGACCTATCCAAAATCACTGATCTGTCCCCTTCCTGCAGCAAGCAGCCCACACAAAAGGGAAAAAAAGTGAAGTGTGTTGCTTATATACTGCCCCATAGCACTTAAAGCACTCTCTGGGTGGCGTGCAATTTAATTATGCAAGCTACACATCCCCCCCCAGGCCCCAGCAAGCTGAGTATTCAATTTACCAACCTTAGAAGGATGGAAGGCTGAGTGAACCTTGAGCCGGCCACCTGGGATTGAACTCGGGTTGTGAGCAGAGTTTTGGCTGCAGTAATGCAGTTTAACCACTGTGCCATGAAGGAAAGTCCTTCCTTTTACAGAGTGTTCATGCCAGATCAGACCCCCAATGGTTTGTTTGCAAGGCAGAGATCTCCAGCACCTCAGAAAGAGTTTTTCCCTGGCTCTTTTCTTGAGAGACGTAAGGATATAAGAAGCACATGAACCCAAGACCTTCCACATACAAGGTTTGTGCTCTTCTATTGAGGGCAACCAACAGAAGTTGCTCTCAAGCAATAGAATGCTACCACACAACCATAATATGTACATTTAGCAAAATCTGAATATATGCCTGACAAGTTGCTTAAAACTGGGAATTTACAGGTTGCCAAAGACAGAGGAATAGGTGTGTGAGAGGAGGGTAATGCGGTTATGAAGAATTTAAAATCTATGCCATCTCCTCTACACACACACACAGAGAGAGAGAGATTGTGAGAGGAGGGTAATGAGGTTATGAAGAATTTAAAATCTACGTCATCTCCTCTACACACACACACACACACACACAGAGAGAGAGAGAGAGAGAGAGAGAGAGATTACTGTTCCTGTCTTTGGCCTTTCCTGTAATGTAGGATTGATTCTCTTCACAGCTGCTTTCTTCCTAGGGCAGCTCCTGCACCATTATTGACAGTGGTTTTTAAAGAGCTGGCATGAAGCCCAAATGTCTGCTCTGGGAAATGTTGTTGTTGTGTTAGTTTCTCATTTCCAGTTTTATATGAGATTGGGTGTTTTTATTTACATGCTCCCATCAGTCTCACACTACTCCAAGCTTAAGCCAGTCTATCTCTCTCTATATATATATAGTGGGGTGTGTAGATTATATATACACATACCACATTCCCAGCCCCTCATTCTGTCATTATGCAAATTACCTGCTATTAAAACACCATCTCTTTCTAACAATTCTTACGTTGTTGTGGTAGATCAGCATTGATTCATCACTTCCCACACCTTACTTCCTGTCTGAGAAAATTAATAGCAAATAGCCAAATATAGTTAAAAACAGAATGTCTGATTCCCTGTCTAAGTGTGCCAACATGCAAAAAATACACTTCAAAATAAATATATATTCAGAGCTTTCTGCCACCTTTGCAGATATAAACAGCTCACTCTGTCTGTTGGAGGCAATGATTCTTTTTCATTTCGCGTGCAGGCATATATCAAAAGACTGAAAAGCTGAAAGGTTTGAACCAAAAAAAATTGCAATAGATGAAAAAAACCGTAGTATACATATATCTTGCCATGTAATACATGCATACACTTAAACAAAAATCTATCTAAGTTCATAAAAATTGCATAATATACAACAGAGCTTTGCAATAGACATTTTTGCTTTTGTGGAGGCTGTAAAAACCTTTAAACACATTGCTTTTTTAAGTTTAAGATGCCATCCTAAATGTAATAGCTAGTGAGAAAGCCCCATTGAACAGAACAGAACTTACCTCTGAGTCAACAGACACATTTAGGTTAGATAGTCAATGATTTCTGTGCCTTGGGATGTGGTTTGGAAAGGCAGCTAATCAATTTTAAAATAATATTCTATCGCTATGCCACAAAATGACCCTGCTGTAGGCTGTCGTTAATAGTTGCACTCGTTAACACAATTAGTTTGAAGGGCTATGGAGATCATTAACATGCATGAACATTATCATATTATAACAATCTGGTGGGCAAGGGTGACATGATTCCATTATTCAAACTATTTTTTTTTCAAAATTTCATTTCAGTCCTTCACTTCCTCCTGGGGAGTTCAGAGTGACATACATCGTCTCTTCCATTTGTGTCTCCTAATAACAAATCTGTAAAAGATAGTGACATACAGGAGACCACCCAGTTAGTTTTGTGGCTGCATTGTTTACAGAAATAGCTGGACATTTTAGTTCAGCCAGTGGTCTAGTCAAGGTTCACATATGGAAGGAACCGGTTTTTGAACTCTCGAGTTCCCATTTCTGAATTCAACATGCAAGTTAACGTTAACAGCGCTCAGTAAAAATGCTTTAAGCGCATGTTTCTAAATGATTTATAAATACCAAACTCAAACACAAATATACGTCAGGGAGACAGTGTAGAAAAATGATCAGACTCTTGGACCATGACTTGTGAAATTCAGGTCCGTGTCTCCACTTGCTGTAAAGCCCACTGGGTGTTGCTGAGTTAATCATTTTCTCTTAGGTTGACCAACTTCACAGGTCTGTTGTGAAGGTAAAGATGATTTCCATGGACCCCCTTGAGTTTATTAGGGGGGAAATGGGTATAAACGTACCTTATAAAGAAATAAGATACGTACTGTAGATTTTTATTGATTTTTTTTTTTTTTTTTTTTTTTTTTTTGTTTTTTTTTTTTTTTTTTTTTTTTTTTTTTTTTTGCAGCCAGTGTGCCTGTTTTTATACACAGAAGGTTGTGGGTACTGTGAAACACTTCTTTTCTGACCACAGTTTACTTTTATCAGAAGGTGATTCAGAACTGGCTTGAACTGAAGGAGAGGACAGAGCTGCAATCAGCATAGTACAGTGGTGCCCCGCATAGCAACGTTAATCCGTTTCAGGATTAACGTTGCTATCCGGAAACATCACTATACGGAACATAAAACCCCATAGGAACGCATGGGGGGAAAACTCACCAGTAAGCGAAGATTCCCCATCCGGCCACCATTTTCGCCGCCTCGGTAAGCGAGGGCAGGGCGTGAAAATGCTGCGGGTGGCCATTTTCTGCGCCCAGTGGCCATTTTGGAACTGCTGATCAGCTGTTTTCTAAACATCGCAATGCAAAGATCGCTAAGTGAAATGCTTACCGATCATCGCAATGCGATGTTTTGCCACCTAAAACATCGCAATGCGATCGCATTAGCGATTGCAAAAAAGGCATCACTATGCGGATTCACCATTAAACGTTGCGCTCATTAAGCGAGGCACCACTGTATTGACTTATTTTTGCCCTCTTCAGAACGTTGTAAGGCTACAGGAGAACAGATGTATTCTAATTAAGAATATTTTATTGAGAATGTTTTTTTTAACTCATGAGAGAGCATAATTGAAGGAAAAGTCATCTGCTCGATGTAATCTAATATCCAAGTGGAGAATGCAAAACAGCACAGACAACAAGCAAACATAGCTGGGTGCCCTGTGCGTAATGAGCCTGGGGAAAGGCGAAATATGAATTATTTGATAGGCTTAGAAAGAGTACAGCGGTGTGATGAAAAAAATGGTTGCCATGTTAAAATAAACACATGCTCCGCTGCCCCTCCCAAATAAAAAGAATGTTGAGAAGAGTTGATTCATGGTCACTGCTTTAGATAGCAGAAGGTGAAACAGAATAGGAAACAGTAGATGGAATAACACATATCTCACATGTTTGCTGTACACACACACATACACACACACACACACACACACACACACACACACACACACTCATTTCAGAAATCAAAATCAAAGTACAGTGGTGCCCCGCATAGCGACGTTAATCCGTTCCAGGATTAACGTCGCTAATCGGATTCGTCGCTATGCGGGGGGAAAACCCATAGGAATGCATTAAACTCCATTTAATGTGTTCCTACGGAGCGAAAACTCACCGCTATGCGAAGATTCACCCATCCGGCCGCCATTTTCGCCGCCAGGTAAGCGAGGGCAGGGCACGAAAACGGAGCAGGCGGCCATTTTTTTTTCTTCCGGAGGCCATTTTGGAACCGCCAGTCAGCTGTTTTTAGAACATCGCGATGCGAAGATCGGTAAGCGAAACACTTACCGATCGTCGCAATGCAATGTTTTGCCATTCAAAAAACACGTCACTATACGGTTTCACCGTTAAACAGTGCACTTGTTAAGCGAGGCACCACTGTATATCTGACAGACAATTGCCTAACTTTCTCTTGGATGCCTCCAGTGCTAGAGCGCGCACGCGCGCGCGCGCGCACACACACACACACACACACACACACACACACACACAGAGTGAGGCCTTAAAAGATAAGTAGGGAGTGGTGATAAATATGTTTGTCTAGCATCTCAAGGCATGCCTTATCTAATTTATAGTTCTCAGAAACACAACTATAATTTTTCTGAATTTCATGACAGAATTGTGCAGTAAAAATAATGTTTCTATTGAGGAAAAGTGCAGATAAAAATGTGTATATTAGTTGAAGGAACATGCAAAATGTGTTCTGTTTGTAATTAATAATCATCATGTGCTGTCAAATCAGTTCTGACTTGGGGCAAGCCTCTTCAGGGTTTTCCAGGTAGAGAATATTCCAGAAGTGGTTTCCCATTCCCTTCTTCTTCCCTAGGACTGTGCAACTTGTCCAAGGCCATACAGTCTGGCTCTTCTCCCTGGAGGCACAGTGGAGAATCAAACTCCCAACCTCTGTCTCCCCAGTGAGATACCTAAGTCAGTGACCTATCCAGCCAGCCTGTTTGTAATTATAAGGGGACCTGCTTGCCCAAATGAAAATATTAAGAAAAACTTAACTTGGAGGTATAGCCTGAGATGGATATGGCACTAAGAAAGGGAAGTCACTGGTCACAGTCAAAGCAATGCAGTGGGTCCAGTATTCGGAAGCTTACCAGTTAGACAAAATGGGGAGATCCTACACTAGCTTCAGGGTATGGAGGCAGCCTCTGTCAGAACTCACTGTTCCTCCTACATTAGTTGGAGGACTAATGTAGGATGCTTTGTGCTGGGTGCTTTGCTCCCTGATGACCAGAAGAATTGCAAGGGGACCAAGTGCAGATAGTGTTGCAGTTCTACCTCATGCAGCTTAAGAGGCTTTCACTCCCATAATTCAACCTCGGGAGTTCCTGCCAAATTAGTGGGGCAGAAGTCCATTGAACACAGGAATCCCATCAGGGTCCTATGTGAAGATGAACAGCAGAGCTGCAACTAACAGGGTGTCCTAGCCTTCGCTGGCATGTTGGTTAAGTTGGGTCATGTGGGAATGGCGTATGCAGGGAGTGGATGGAGGAATGGAAGGAATACAGCGGCACCTCGCAAAACAACAACCCCGCAAAACAACGAATCTGCATGACGAATATGCAGGGAGCGGATGGAGGAATGGAAGGAATACAGTGGTACCTCGCAAAACAATGACCCCGCAAAACAATGAATCCGCATGACGATGAGTTTTTGCGACCACCATTGCGCTTCGCAAAACAGTGATTCCTATGGGGGAATTTTTGCATTTCATTCTGTGCTTCCCCAGACGCTGTTTTTTTTTTCGAGACTGATGCTTAGCAAGAGGACGATTTAACAGCTGATTGGCGACTCTGCAAATGGCTTCCCTAGGGTGTTTGGGACCGATGCTTAGCAAGAGGACAATTCAACAGATGATTGGCGGCTCCGCAGAATGGCTTCCCTAGGGTGTTTTCTTTCACAAAGATTGGCGGCTCCGCAGAATGGCTTCCATAGGGTGTTTTCTTTCGCAAGACTGATTTAAAATGGCTTCCGTGTGGGCAATCTTCGCTGGATGATGACTATTTTCCCCATTGGAATGCATTAAACGGGTTTCAGTGCATTCCAATGGGCAAAGGCATTTCGCAAGATGATGATTTTGCTAAACAGCAATTTCAATGGAATGCATTATCATCGTCTTGCGGGGCACCACTGTACCTGGGTCTTGAGCACACAAAGGCTATACCAGCTACGTGCTGAGACTCCCCTCATTTGTGTTTTCCTTCTGCTCAGGGAGGAGTCTTGGGGAAGAGATACTGCACTCACTTGGAGAAGGCAGGTTCACAGCCTTCCAGCATCCAGTGTTTGTGCCTTTAACATTTCAGCGCTATGGGTCACAAACCTGATCACCATATGCCCTAGTTGCAACATAGAAGAACAGAATCTTAAAAGAAATTGAGGGGGAGGGGGAATCACCTAAGGTAGTTTTTGCCTCCCAACAGTCACATGGCAAAAGGGGGGGGGGAGTTGGAAGTATTTTCTGTAGATAATTCAAAGTTATCTGGTTCTGGGAAAGGGCTCTCCAATACTTGTGAGAAGCGCAGGTTCTCCAGAGGGAAGTGGGACAGAGATCACATTAGCAAACAGCCTGTATAATTCAATTTCCAATTACTGTGATCACGACCGCTGTTGTCTGACAGGGTGGCTTGTGTGCTGCAAATGAGAGCCAAATGCGCTCTGCACAGATCCATAAAAGCTAAACTGATTGTGCCATAAACAGATCATCTGGAAAGGCCCCCAGTTGTGCCTTAATGTTCTCGGGTTCCAAAGTTTTCTGCACTTTCTGATTTGTTTTAACCTTGCATTACAGATCCCTTCTACAATCAGGTCTATCCATCAGGATAAAATCCTAGCACTTAGACAGCAGACACAGTTCTTGTGGGAGGCTTATTTTTCTTCTGTTGAGAAGATTGTATTGACCACACTAGAGGTGAGTAACTCTTCCCAGATATTAGTCAAAACGGAAGCATCAATGTTCTCTTTCTTGGATTTCACCTTGGCTTCTTGAGGGACCTGCGGGTGGGTTGTATGTGTGTGTTTTAAATGAGGAATGGGGCAGAAGAAACACTTTCTGCCTCTCTATAGCATTTCTTCCTTAAGGAAATGTCTTCTTTGTTATTAAGAGTGGTGTAAGAAGGAAATGACATTGTGACAAATGGGAAGCCATGCAGCTAGTGAGGGGGAAGTTGCCTCATGTAGACTAGTGGATTCTTGGAGGCTTTGGGATTGATAAATCATCATCCTTGTCATTCCTGGAGAATGGGTTCTTTAAGGAACCTTTCAGGAGAAATTGCTTTTTGAAGAAGTATTGTAAATCCCCCTCTCCTTCAGTAGGCTTTGTATTGCAAGAGGTTTGGATGGCCTTTGGCTGTTCTCTGGGGGCGGGAGATGTTGGACTTAAGGCAGGAGCTCTTTTCAGATTAAGGGGGAAGATGACAGAATGGCATCAACAGACGCTGTTGAGAAACAAAATGAGTTTGCCACATTTCCAAAAGCATTTCCGTACAGCTGTGGCCAAATACTACAGTAGCTCACATAAAATGTATTTTTCTCCCTTGCTCTAGGAAGACTGAAGTTCCAAGAGAGATTGAAAGAGAGAGTTGAATCTCTTTTGGACTTCAGCCTTCTAATGCCCTCACATTTGCTTTGCTGACTTCTGTATTCTGGGAGCTATCATCAAAAAAGTAACTTCTCCAAGGGTCAGCACTAACCATGTTTTCATGTTATCTTTGAACATAACTCTTGCCTTCTCCCCATTAGTCCTGGATCCAGACATAACACTAGCTCCCACAAATCTGTAGTTGCACTTGGGAATGTCCATCCCATCTCTTAACCCATTGGTTCCCAATCTTGAGTAACCCAGATGTTCTAGGACTGCAGGACTGCAACTCCTAGAACCCTCAGCCAGCACAGCTAGTGGTGAAGGCTTCTGGGAGTTGCAGTCCAAGAATGCCTGGGTTGTTTAAGGTTGGGAACCATTGTCTTAGCCCATTGCCCCTGTATTTGGCTTTCACCATGTGCAACAACGCTATCCATAGCTACTGCTGATTAGGTACACATTATTTGCAAATAGACTTCAAGCCATATTTTTACATTCAAGTTCACCAGAAAATGCAAGTAGATAAATGGGTACCGTCTCGGTGGGAAGGTAACGGCATTCCGTGTCTAGTCGCGCTGGCCACGTGACCATGGAAACTGTCTTCAGACAAACGCTGGCTCTATGGCTTGGAAACGGGGATGAGCACCATGCCCTAGAGTCGGACACGGCTGGACTAAATGTCAACGGGAAACCTTTACCTCACCAGAAAACTATGAGTAGCACCTCTCCACTTGTAACTCTAAACAAAGGCTGGTCAACCAGGAATCCTTCAGTTCTTCTTAACTGTGACCCTCATCAACACTAGTCAGCATAGCCAGTAGAGGGGAATAATGGAGTTGCAGTCCAGCAACAATTGGAGGGCTACAAGTTACTTGCCCTTGCTTTAAATCAAGGTTAATCCTGAGAAAAGCAGGTTTTCTAAGCTGGTTTGCAGGCTGGTAAAAACCCGCTACAGTGGGGTCTTGACTTGAGAACTTAATCCGTATTGGAAGGCGGTTCTCAAGTCAAAAAGTCTGTAAGGCAAGTCTCCATTGACCTACAGTGCATTGAAAACTGATTAATCCCGTAACAGGCCGTTTTTGTTCCATTTTGGTTTTTTTCTGGTCTGTAAGTCAATTCTCAGGCTGCAAGTCAAACCTAAATTTTGCGGCCAGAGAAGTCTGTAACTCAAAAAGTCTGTAAGTCAAGCCGTCTGTAAGTCAAGGGTCCACTGTATTATGCTTAAACTCCTCTTCCACCCACCCACCCACCCACCCCTCAGGCTGAAATCCAGTGTAAGTTGCAACCAGAGTAGGGCCATTGAGTGAATGGTGTTGCCTCACTAAATCCACACTAATTCAGTGCGCTGGCTACAACTTACTAGAGGATTTCAGCCACAGTGTTCTACACAACCATGGTTATTTTCATTTTAAGTGTGGCAGTATTTCCTTCACCAGTGTCTCCATCAGAGCTAAAAACAGTATATTCTCATAAAGTTCCAGGACGCCAAGTAGCCTGTGTTAATTTATACAATGAGAGCGACCATGGAAGAATGTGATCTTCTGCCCCTTGGCCAATGCTTCCTAAGGAATATATTCTGGTTATAAAGAGCTGTTGTCAGCTGCACAAATTCTCCTCTTCCTGGCCTCCTGTCCCTCCTTTGAACTCATCTTTCATGGCTCTCATTCTCATCCAACCATGCAAAAATAGGTCTAAGAAGGAGATGAACTTCCCCTAATCCAATTTACACTTTTGTTAGTGGAGAGTTGGCATGTTCCACTCATATCAGAGGTGACTGATTCATCAATGAGAATGGACTTACTCTATGGCCAACCTACATACCAGTATTGGAAACAGAAGCAAAATTTTTCAGATCAAATTGTCAGCAGAACTTTTTTTTAATGATCTTTTAGAAATGCAAAAACCCCAGTATTTAGCAACATGAGTGTATCAGTTTTCTCTTTGCTTTTTATTGCTAGCGAAGGAGCTGTAAATCTTTTCCATGTTTGTCTTTTCCTGCCTGCTTTCTTCCAAGTATTTCCCCTCTTGCAACCTAAGAGATAGTCAGGTGTTGTTCTCATAATTTAAAATTGCCATATGTTAAATCTATTGTATGGTCCTTAGGTCAGGACCCAATCCCATAAAATAATAAGATCCACAAGAATGTCCCCACCTGACCTGCAGCAAGGGATGCATACAAACAGTGGGTCGTACAATAGTCCCAAAACTAAACTGGGGTTGGTTGCAAAATGGGTGTCTCTGTGTGTCCCATGGTGGTCTTCAGTTTTTACCTGGAAATGTCAGGGATTGTCTGCATGCATTGTGTGATGTACCTTGCCCTTGAAATATGGACAGAAGTGTGTGAAGGGGTCAGAACTAGGGTCTATGTAGTCCCCCATTCTTTTCTACATGCTGGCCAAGCTATTAACTATGCCAGTGCAACGTGAGTGTCTTGTAGGACACTCTGTCTGCCAGCAGGCCATGGATGCTGTTGCACACTGTGTTCCTCAACAACCAGTAGATAGAGGCATATTGCCTGTGATACTGGGATTGACATGAAGTGATCCTGAATGGCAGCCGCATTAATGGCCTTATACTTCATATATTGCTTGTGCTCCACAACAAAATAGTGGGCTCAGTGAACATGGGTTCTTTTCCAAGAAAGCTAGATTGTTTGACAAGCATCTAATTCAAACCAATGACAGTTCAAATGCATGTGCATAATTTAGTCTGTAGTTTTTAACTACTATGCATAATCTGTTTCCTCTCTGCTAATGATGGTGCAGGACAATGAGAACCTCAGCTTCCAATTCATGGCTGATCAGATTTCACCAGTAATTTCCCCGGTGTGACCAGATGTATCTTAGGAATTTTAAAAGCTAGCATCTCACTTTGAAAATAAAGGCTGAAATGCTCAGGGCCTAAATTCCTTCTCTAACATGAATTCCTGTGCTTGCTTTTTTTGCTCATGTAAAATCACAGTAGTCTGTTAATAGTGAGAGTCCCATTGATGGTCTTTGGGCCCAAAATACTGGTACTCCCCTTGCATGTTGTTCCATTCAGTTTTACTTTGAGGCACGACGCTTGGGGTGGAAGAGGAGGAGGAGGAAAGAGGTGAAGGTTAAAGTTATTGCTATTCAGCGATGGTATGCATCCTGTCTCAGTCTACCACTAGACTAATTATTTTATGCAGGATATTGATGGCAAAATGGTAAACTGGATTAATCAGCCTTGTAACTGACGTCCCCGCTTTAAAAACTAAAAATGTTTTGACTCAAAAAAGACAGCATCCGATAATCATGCCCAGGTTGTCACCGTGTCTGCAGCAACTAATGAGGTAGTTTGCATACCATTATGTGAGACTTCGAACCCCCCCCAGGAATCTGCACAGGTCACCGTCATTTGGTCTGTTTAATAGGAGAGGAAGGGGGCGGGATCAAAGAGGAGTGCTAAATAACCCAGGGCTTGCTGGCTTTTACAAAAGGCACAGCAGCCGCTGGCTTGAGTGGGCACTTCAGCCTCAACCATTTTCTTATCAGGACCTCTTTCAGAAATTGTTTCTTTCTTCCTTTTTCTCCCTTCCTCCATTCCAGATTATTCAAGACAGAATATTTAAGCACATATCACGTAACAGCTTAATATGGAATAAACACCCTGGCGGGTTATTTGTACTGCCACAGTATTCCTCATATCTGGGAGATTTTCCTTACTATTATGCTAACCTAGGTAAGTGACACCAGTCGATGACTTTACCTTATGGGGAGGCTGAAGCGAGTTTCTGGGGTGGTGTATCAGCAACAGCCTTGGAAATATTTCTTTTTGGAGGACTAAAATACCCAGAATCCCACCCCCCAGCTGGGTGATTGAGCGATTGTAGTCTAAAACACTGGTTCTTAACCTTGGGTTACTCAGAAGTTTTGGACTGCAACTCCCAGAAGCCTTCACCACCAACTGTGCTGGCTGGGGTTTCTGGGAGTTGCAGTTCAAAAACATCCAAGTAACAAAGGTTAAGAACCACTGGTCTAAAACAAAGGATCTTTCCCACATTCTGCTCTGTCATGTATAAAGCACTGTGGAAGGGGTTTGGTGCTACAGCCCGTGTTTGCAAAAATAGGACCTTGCCTCATAAATGTGTCTTCCTCTCAGGAGTGGCTTTATATCATTAGGGAGGGTGAGGTAACAGCAGAGATGCAGGAGGATGGCAGCACCCAAGCCCTATTGAGCAGCCCATCCTTTCCCCTCTCTTGGGCAACAGAGGTGTGTTGGCCTCATGGCCTGTCCTGCCCCCACTGCTGAACGTAACCTGCTGTCCTCAGGTGAAGTTCCACCATCCGTTTTGAAGCACGAGTGAATTGCTAGACCAGTTCACTTCAGTGCCTGAAATGGGAAAGGGAAGCCATCTTGTCCTTTGCATCATATGACTGAACATCATGTTGGTCCTGTGCCCTCCCATCTTCCACGAGTCCTTCTTCCCCAAATCCTTATCTTGCAAAACCCAGTTTGAGCTGGCACTATTTTGGAAGTCCAGCTTATTCAAACAGAAAGAGTTCACATTTTAAATCCTCCTCACCCAGATTCACCTAGCTATATGCTCATCAGCACCACATGTATTTGTCTTGACTGAGTGATTTTGTTATTCTCCCGTAAACTATGAGAGGATCTGCTTTAAAGCAAGAGTAGGCAAAGTGTAGATCTACTGTGAGATCTGTGGAGTAATATGCAGCAGTGACATAGTTTTCTGACTCCAAATTATTTGATAATTGCCCTTCTGTCCAAGGGTATCCTTCCAAAATAAAGAAAGGTTTGGGTTTTCAGTGAGCTGAAACTGGGAATGTCTTTCATTTCTGCTGGGCAACACATTTCTGAGAGTTTTCATTCTTGAAAAGAACTCCCAACTAGTGGATCTCAGGGCTCTAGTAAAAAGCAAAGCAGATCCAGCAAGCCTGAAGTCTTTCCCACCAAGGCTTTTGAATTACAGAGCTATGGATCATGCCCTGGGTGGAAGAGTCAATCAGGAGAGAGGAGAAAGGAGAGGAAACGAGAATCATTGATGAGCATGGCTTGTGGTTTGCCAGTTGTGTTTATAGGGAGCCAGGGTCGCTTCTGTAACGGATCATTGTGTCCCCCAATGTCCCTCTCTGTTCTATTGTTCAGCCAGCTGTCCAAAAAACCAGTTATCATCTGCTACAATGGTTCCCAACTGTAATGTCCCCAGCTGTTGCTGGACATCAGCTGCCAGAAGGTCCAGCCAGGACATCGAGTGGGAGGGATTCTGGAAGATGTAGTCCAAAAATGGCTGGGGATCAACAGTCATTGGGAGCCACTGTCCTGCTATGTTGGAGAAAATAAGTGGGCAGCAATGGAACCAATTACCTCAGGAGGTAGTGAGCAGTCCAACTCTGGAGGCATTCCAGAGGAAATTGCACAACCATCTGTCAGATCTGCTTTGATCTGGATTCCTGCCATGAGCAGGGGGTTGGACTCAATGGCCTTACTGGCCCCTAGCAACTCAGTGATTCTGTGATTCTATGATTCACTGTTTTCAGTCTCGAGAGGCAGAGGATAGGTCCTCTGGTTTAGCCATTTGCCTTTTTTGAAATAATTTGCAAGGTTCCGTGTCAGAATTGACTAGTGGAGAGAACCAGAAAATGTTGGCAGCCAGTAATGACAATGCTGTGTGTGGCATTTGTGACACAACATAGCTCTTCATTGGTACCACCAATGCCTAGAGGGAGCAGCAAGGCTAAGATTATCGGGCCTTTATGTACCTCCTATTTCCTCCATACTTGTGTGTCCACCATGCTGTTGGAAACCCTGCACAATTGATAGCCAGCTTTTTCTGACCAATCTTTGAGTTATGAAAATGGCTGGTTGAACTTAGGAAGCTCCACACACGGAAGTCCACCAAGCCCAGTGCTGTTCTTTTGATGAGCAGCAGCTTTTCAGGAGCTCAGACGGATAACATGCCCATTGCGTGTTACCTGACCCTTTAAGCTGGATAAGCCGGGAATTGAACCCCAGACTTTCTGTATGCAAAGGCTGTTCCTTACCAGTGAGCTGCAGCCAATCTCCTGCTTGTGAACCGCCATCCGTCAGGCCTCTCTCCAACAGATCTGCCTACACAATCTGTTCCCGCTGTGTGTGCCACAAGTAGAATGATAAAGTGCAGGACAGGAAATTGAGCCACTAACTCCCAAAGTCTCAAGCCTCCACATGCTGCAGGGAAGTTAAGAAGAAATGTTTCTGGTTCTAGTATTTCCTTATGTCACTGACAAATTTCCACCTCGCCTCGGTTATGCATGTGCTTTTCCATCCAGGCTACGCTGTCGCAACACTGGTTAGGAACAAGTGTTCTGCTCTGTATTTATCTGCCTGCCTATACTGTGCTATTAGTTGCCATTGTATTTCCAAGGCCAATTTAAAATGCTAGTTTTGACTTTTAAATCCTCCAAATGCAGGGTCAAAGTTACTTAGGAACACAGGAAGCCATCCCCCCCCCCCGAATTATAACAATGGCCCATCTATATCTATATATATATTTTTACTCTGGTTGTCAAAGGTGGTTCACTTCAAACAGGATTCTTTCTGAGCCCTACCTAAGAGGTGAAGGATTGAAGCTGGGAGCATGTTGTACCTCTGAGCTTCAGCCTCTCCCCATTGGAGCACCTCCCATTCCCTCAGAATTTCCCATGACCTGACCCTGTTTAGCTTCCAGAGCGAGACCCAGTATCTTGGCCCACCTTCCCCTGCATCAGCCTGCTCATACTCTCTCCTTCAGCCACAGGGACCCATTTCCTTGCTCACTAACGGGAAGTAAATCCAGAGAATGATCATTTTTTCTAGTGGTCATAAACCTCTGGCATGAACTGTCCTCAGTGGCCATCTTTGCAGACCTTTGGGGGGGGGGGGCTTTGAGGACATGCCAGCTTTCTTTAGATTTCTGCTCAACTGTGATGGGTCTTGGCCACAATTAATTTAGCATTCTTTGGCCTCAGTGCTTATTAATTGTATTGCTTCTCATTATTCTGTTTTTTTGTAGTGGCTTGTCAATCAGCAAGCTGCACTGGACAGGGTTGTAACCTTAAAGGCAGCCTAAATATATTTTTAAATGAAATAAATAAGCAAGACAATTCATTTCTTCTTTCTTTCTTTCTTTTCAGGTCTCAAATAACCGTCCAAATTCACCGCCGTGATCCATGCAGTTACTCCTTTAGTTTCACAGTCTCAACCTGTGCTGAAACTCCTGGTCGCTGTAGCCAAATCCCAGTACTGTTCTCAGGTGAGAACCTGTACCTGTCCTTTGGCCACAGCTGCGTGGTATGCAAGAATAAGAATCCATTTTTGCCTCTCACTGAATGTCCATAGATTTTTGCCGAATGCAAAAACCATTCTCAGACCTCTTTTGGCCATGACTGTAAACACACTATGAAAGGAATATAGGCTGAATCAGTGTACCAAATGTGCCAGGGCTACGGGAGGGGGGGGGAATCATATACCCCCACTGAGAATGGCTGTTTTAGAGAGCCTTCTCGAGACCCAGCCAAGGGAAACAAGGAAGAACATTTTGCAATAAAGTCCTTAGTTTAGGTCTGGATCCAGAGTACAGTGATGCCTCGCAAGACGAAAATAATTCATTCCGTGAGTCGTTTCGTATTGCAAAAATTTCATCTTGCGAAGTGCGGTTTCCCATAGGAATGCATCGAAATTTAATTAATGTGTTCCTATTCGTCTTGCAAAGCACAGCCATTAAAAAATTGTCTTGCGAGTCACCAAAAAAAATTGCAAAATCGCTTCATCTTGCGAGTTTTTCGTTGCACAAGGCATTCGTCTTGTGAGGCATCACTATATTTCTTTAGGTTTCCATATCAAGCAGGTTATCTGACTGGGATTCCTTCATGTTTTAAAATAATAAAGTCACAATTCTTTACAAAGGCAATATCTTGGGTTGAAAAAAAGCTGAATTTTGTGACCTGCTCTAATTCTGCCTTTTGAAATTGGCACATTTGCTCTTTGTGTTGTTCCACCAAAACTTGTAACAATTTAATCCCATCTGCTTTGGCTTTTTGGGGACACTGAAGATGATCCCCAACTATCTGCTGGAAATCTTGCTCATCCAACTATATTTTTCTGAAATGTCAGCAAACCACACATTTCCATCCTTATTTTTGTAATCCTAATAAGAGCTTAAGAAACACTGTTCTTTTAAGAGAAGGCAGAGAGCCTTAAGTTCCTGAATCCGACTCCCCCTGTGCATTCTGCATTTTGTCTGTGTTCCCACAGGATTGCAGTGTACCAGATTGAAATATGTGAATCTCAGAAAATGGAATTATGCACCCACTATCATGTTACATTTTCCCATCACCTTGTGGACCAAACAGAGTTGGGGGTGGGATGGGGCTTCATCTCAAAATTTCTGCAGGGCCCATTTCTCTTTCTTAGATTCAAGCCGTGGATGCCATGCGGCCCTACATACAGAATGTAATGGAAGAGCTTACTTATATATAGATATGTAAGCCGGGAACATTTCTGGCCTTTTGCGTCTACCAGAGTAAGCTCTCTAGATCCGTCCAGATGCTGCACAGATTGTAGTTCTGATGGCATCTGTCAGAGAAAATGCTTTTCTCATTGTCAGGACAGTAGGATTTTCAAAAGGAAAAGAAAAGAAAGGAAAAGAAAAGAATTATGTGTCTTTTCCCTAGATGGGAATTGATTGCTATGTTTTTCTCTTCTGCTGGCAAACCCATTTTTCTCTTCTGAAGTTCTGGATTGAACTTCTGCTTAGATTTTTTTTCCCCTTGTGGACTGTGATCTCTGTCGACGTATCCCTAACTGTAAGAGACCCTTTTTCGTTTCAGATCATTGTCTTATGGAATTGTGATAAACCCCTCCCAGCGAAGCACCACTGGCCTGCCACTGCTGTGCCTGTCATTGTCATAGAAGGAGAAAGCAAGGTAGGTGGAAGGTGTCCCGGGGGTGTTTGACTTGAGGATTGAAGAGATGCTAATGTGGGAGGTGGTTTTCATTTTGAAGATCACTCTATATGTAGGCAAGGCAATGCATATGTTTAGAGTGCTCCACACAGGGGGGAAACAAGAAGACCATCCATTTATGCAGCAGGTTTTAAAAGATTTTACATAAAAATGAAAAGAATTTTATATAAACAACTGGGAGCTCCATCCATTTGTAAGCCCCAGCTACGATACCTCTGGCATAAAATGGCAGCTTTTGTTGCAAGCGCAGATGAGAGTGGGGTCTAAATGCAGGGCTTGCAATCCACAGGAAGAAGCAAATATCATAGCGAGGTTCTTGAAAATGTATTTATTTTTATTCCCCTACTTGAGGACATGGTGCTTTAAAATAAAAAGTTACCTGCCTTTCCAAACATTCAAGACAGCTGACAATCTAAGCTAAAACCAGAAGGAAACTATTTCAATTCAGCTTCATAACTTCATTTTGATCAGTAGTAAATAAAAAGCATTCCCAGGTCTCCTGCCATTACACCACAAAGTATTCCAGACAACAGGGATTTATAAAGCCTCACTGCTTTTCAAAAGGATAGGCTTTTGCACACATTTCATAATATAGGTGTGTTCTGGGGCCACTGCACATAAGACCCTGCATTAAGAAGATATGGAAAAATGTTTCTTGGTGTGGGTGGGTGGATTGGTTAATTTCTCTCCATTTTACACTACTCCACTCTTCCCCCTCCCGAAAAGTGTTTCAAAAGGTAAATGGAAATTACTAAAAAAATTAGCCAAAAACAGATGAAATCAACAAGTGAGTCACTCACAGCAAGTGAATCCACTCTATTGGTAGTTGGCATTTGAAGCAAAGAGAGAGAGAGAGATCTTTGTAGGCATGTGAACATAAAGAGAGAGATCTTTGTAGGCATGTGAACATCTTCTCGGAGTCTGTTGCACGTTAATGAGGCCATGACTGAAAAGTCCTACTACCTTCCTGTAAAGATGGAATCTGGAGAAGGGTTGTCCTTGTAGATCTTAAGTGCTTGGAAAGTTCTTCAAGGAGAGAAGGCTGTTTAAGCCTATGATGGTGAAGAATGGGACCTGGAAGTGAAACACTAGCCAGCAGCTGTGTTTCCAAATGCACAAAGTGCACTTATGTTTATTCAAGCCCACTGAATTAGTCAGTTCTTCAAGGAGAGAAGGCTGTTTAGGCCTATGATGGTGAAGACAAGGCCCTTGAATGGGACCTGGAAGTGAAACACCAGCCAGCAGCTGTGTTTCCAAATGCGCAAAGTGCAATTATGTTTATTCAAGCCCACTGAATTAGTCTGCAAAAAAACTGTCCTTGAAAACAGTCTTTTGTGTAAAAGGGGTGGCACTCCTTTGAAAACGGGAAACTGCCTTATATGGGGTCAGGTTATTGGTCTTTCTAATGCATTACTGCCAGTGGGTTAGACGGGCAGCTGAGAAGTGAACTTGGGTTGTTCTGTATGCAAAGCATGTCCTCTCCCACTAAGCTGCTCTTGATGGGCTCAAGTCAGCATAATCACACATGACCTATTTTGAAATTGCCGTCGGGTGATCTCAGCAGCCGGAGCAGCTCCCTATAGGGCAACACACAAGTGTGTGACATCCATGACTCTTTTCCATAGATAACCTGGTGCCTTCCTGGTATTTTAGTAGAGGGTAACTTCCATAAAACTTAGCATGGGGGTGATCATGAATTATAGAAACTGTATAGTCAAAATATCTACAAAGCCCCTACCTGGGTTCTGAAATAAGGAAATAGTTCGTAGAAAAAATGACATTTTTCCTTTGCTTTTCTGAAACAATTCTGTACCATTACATCAGATTACAGGTCAGTGTTCTAATGTGCTAAAACAGTATTGGCATCCATGATCAAAGGCTACAGGTAAAAGGATATATCCAGTTCTTAGTTCCACCTAGAGCAGACACACTGGAGAGGATTTTGAAATAAAAACGTGTGCAAGTCCCAGCTGATCTGCTGTTGTTGCAGTGCACAATTGGATTTCTTGTTATGTGCCATCAAGTCACCTCTGACTTATGGCAACCTTATGAATGAGCTCTCTCCAAAATGTTCTGTCCTAGACAGCCCTTCTCACCTCTTTTAAACTCAAGCCTGTGGCTTCATTTAGGGAGTCTATCCATCTCATATTTGGTCTTCCTCTTTTCCTGCTGCCTTCCACTTTTCCCAGCATTATTGTCTTCTCCAGAGAATCTTGCCTTCTCATGCTGTGCCCAAAGAAGGATAGCCTCAGTTTGGATTTAGTCTTTGGTCCAAGCGATTACATAAATTTTTAGTACTTGGGTAAATAAAAGCATATTAAAGCAATGCTAGAAAGCTGGAAAAGTGTGCAGCAATACCCTTCTCTGGGAAAGCTGTTCCTTACAATCTAAGTTATACTTTCTAATACAGTAATAGTATGATATGAATATTATGTAGTCAGTGTGATGTTGTAGATTGAGACATAGACAAAGAATGCTCGGTTCAATTCTCTAATAAAACCATGGAAAACCTAAGTAAATAGATCTGAAGCAGTTGATCTTGTGGCTGATATTCCCTCATATTTATACCCCATTTTTGAGAGAATTTATGTCTACACAGATGCAACGTAACAAAAGAGACGTGATGTTGACATGCAGCCTGAGGGTTCTGATAGGGCAGATGGACTCTGCATTAAAGCAAAGCAAAGTGTGCGGCTTATACATTGCTCCATACGCTTAAAGCACTCTCTGGGCAGTTTACGATTCAGTTATGCAGGCTGCATTGCCTCCCAGTGAGCTGGGTACTGAATTTACCAATGTCAGAAGGGTCGAAGGCTGAGTCAACCTTGAGCAAACTCCCTGAGCCTGGGATCAAGCTCAACCCATTAGAGGAGTCTTGACTGCAGTGCTGCAGTTTAACCACTGCTCCACGAGGCTGTGCGTTAGAGCTCTGCCGATCTGTTGTTTAGCTCCCAGAATTACCAAGGCAGGATAGCCAGTGGCCATGCTATCTGGGAAACTGTGGGAATGGTTGTCTAAAATCACATATCTGTACAGCTCTATTCTAGATCTTTGTGGTGATTAAAATTCCATCCTTTAGGACAGTGGTCCCCAACCTTGGGCCTCCAGATGTTCTTGGACTTCAACTCCCAGAAATCGTGGCCAGCAGAGGTGGTGGTGAAGGCTCCTGGGAGTTGTAGTCCAAGAACATCTAGGGGCCCAAGGTTGGAGACCACTGCTTTAGGAGAAGCTGTTCTGTTCATCCATGATGTCTTCAGCTTAAGTTGCTATTAAGGTGCCAGGCAGTCATGCTTAAGCTCTAAGATTTGCCTGTCAGTCTGTAAATGGCAGTGAGATGCCATGATCCTTCGCTGCGCAATTCAGCACAGTCTAGACCTTCACCAGATTGTTCACTCCATAGTTTTGTGCAGGGCGTTCTCTCACCTGTCCAAAGCAGAACAAATTTTCACTCCAAAGTTGTTGTTTTTTTCTCCCAAGTGCTTTGCAGATGTTTAGAATGTATGGACCTTGTCCAAATTATGTCCCCCATGAAGCCTGACAAGGGAAAAGTCAGGGTACTGCTAAGCAGGCGTCTGTATTGGTTCTTGCCTTAGATAATGTCCACGTGAGCTGTGCCAGGAGATTCGCTGCAGGGCCAACATAGGAGGCTGCTGTTCATAGATTGCCTGGCTCTGGAGCTGTCATTGTTTCTCTCCCCTTCCTTCCTTCCCTCCTTCCCTTCATTTCTTTTCCTTCTTTCTTTCATATATTAAAGAGGCTGAGGAAACAAAATACTCCTTCGACTTATAAAGAAAGAATAGGCCCTAGTCTAGGAGATTTTGTTTAGAAGTTGCAAGAAAATAGCATCAGACTGGTGCTATTTTTTCCTGCTTCAACATGGCACTCCAGATTGGATGCTCAGGTGGGAGGGCGGAAACAAAGGAGCCATGGATATTCCAGCGTGAAAATGACTCTAAATAAGACTTCCCCAACAGACGCTTTGTACAACTTCAACTATAATTCTTAAAAAATTCATTTAATCCCGCTGCGTCTTGCCTTTCTCCTCGTGAGCACAAAGTGGGGTACTTGGAGCTGTTCCTTCCCGCTTTATCCTCACAACAGACTTGAGACGTTGGTCAGGCGAAGAGAACATAACTGGCTCAAGGTTGTTCATGGCAGGAGAGAGACTTGAATTCATATCTGCTAGGTCCTAGGCCCAAATTCTAATCACTACGGCACACTCATGTAGCGTCTGAAGAGTGTTAGGTTGGAGGAAGGCTGCTCCAAACCAGCAGCCTTTAACATTTTCAGGCTGACCCACTGTAAGTCAAAACATACCTTTGGAAATTGACTGCTACTTAACAGATATAATAAAACCAGATATGGGGATGGTGCTGTTGTTCTGATCCACCAGTTGAAGACCAGTATTTTGACACCAGCCTTCTCCTTATCAGTGGTTTCCAACCTTCCAGCCTCCAGGTGTACTTGGAGTAGAATTTCCAGAAACCTTGGGCAGCACAGCTGGCGGTGAAGGCTTTTGGGTATTGTAGTCCAAGAACACCTGGGTTGCCCAAGGTTGGGAGCCACCAGCCTATGGCTAGAGGTAGCAAGAGATGCATTGCAGTATATTGGAAGGATATACTGCAACGCAGCCAGGTTGGTTCAAAAAGGAAGCCAACGGAAATTTGGATCCTTGCTTCTTGAGTTGCTGGGGTGCAGTTTCAAATATTCCAGCCAGGTCTGCAGGAATACTCATATGGCTCGAAATTATGTCAGTTGCAAAGCTGGCTATAATAGAATCTAGTTCTTTCATATGAGATCAGACAACCTCATATCTTTTCCAGACCTTTCCATTTGATAGGGTCAGTTTCTCCATTAATGCTCTGGTAGCAAGTTAACTCCTTCTGTTTAGCTGTAATCAGGGTGCTGCCCTTGGCGCTACAACTTCCAAGAGCTTTTTACTGACTTCTTTGTCCACCTTGCAGGTGATGAGCAGTCGTTTTCTGCCCTACGAGAACATTGTCACGGATGCTGTTCTAAGCCTCGATGAGGATACGGTGCTTTCAACCACTGAGGTGAGACCTGTTTTAATGTTCAGATGGCTGCATCACTTTGCTCCCTTGGCACTATTAACCTTTCCAGGTCATCCTTTCATTGTACTTCAATTCACAAGTGCCCACTAGTTGACTAGACCTAGGATATCACACAGTGTAATCACTGCAAACAGCACCGGCCTGTTTTCTTCAGGCCTTTATTTGGCACCGTGGATATACCATGTCCCACCTTCAATTAATACAATTGAAAAAGACTAATACAGTGGTGCCTCGCAAGACGATGTTAATTCATTCCGTGAAAAACGCTGTCTTGCGAAAAAGAAGGAAGTACATTGAGCCTAGCTAGCGTAAAAGCCCTTATGGCTTTAGATGACATAGTGCTGGCTAAATATGAGGAGGTGATAAAAGCAGATTTCTTTAGAAAATTATATTTCCCTAACTGGCCAAAATGGTCCTGTAGTTCAATGTCTCATACCCTTAACTTCACTGCTTTGATGGCATCCTTGAGACCCATTACTATAAGTATACTAGGGGGAAAGCCAGTTTTCAATAACTCTTCAGTTATATGCTTCTTCCACTCCGACTGAAAGGAATCTATTTAATGTGTTCCAGTGGAAAAATCACTCTCTTGCGAAAATCATCCATAGGAAACCATTGGCTTGAGAAGCGCAACAGTGATCACAAAAAACTAATCATCTTGAGGATTAATCGTCCCGCGAGGCACCACTGTATACTGGTCCTACAGGGCAGAAGTCATTCAGTCCACCAGACTGTAAAATTATTGTTGAATCATTGCAGCCCTAGAGGGCAGAAGTCATTCAGTCCACCAAACTGTAAAATTATTGTTGAATCATTGCAGCTTGCTCAAGAACTTTCTAAGTATCAGCTGTGTTAGGCTGTCACAGCAAAAATAACTGAGCTCTGTGGGATTCTTAATACTAACTCATTAGTTATAGTGGTGTTTCTCAGCCTTTGACTCTCCAAATGGTGTGGAACATATTTCCCAAAAGTCCCAACCAGCAGGACTAATGGTCAGCAGGACTAATGGTCGGAACGGATTATACTATTGAGTTACAGTATGTGGCTAAATTAGGTTGTATCTCACCTTATCAGATACATCAAGCATTATCCAGAATGGAACTATAGAAAATCTTAACAGTGACCTTTGCATCATCATCATCCATCTGTTGCTTCTCCTTGTCCTCCTCATCTTCCTCTCCTACTGAAGCTTAGATATAATCATGACTGTGCTCATTTAAGATACGGAATTGCCATAATTATCACTTCTGGTTTTAATTTTCTTCTGACCTTACTGTTTACAGTCTCACCTTCAGTCACATATACAGTGTACAGTGGTACCCCGCATAACGAGTGATTCGTTTAATGATGAATCCGCATAGCGATGTGTTTTTTGCGATCACAAAAGCAATCGCAGTGCGATGTTTCTGATGGTAAAACATTGCTTTGCGATGATCGGTAAGCGTTTTGTTTACCGATTTTTGCATAGCAATGTTTTTTTAACAGCTGATCGGCGGTTCCAAAATGGCC